GGCTGGTGGATTTGAACTACCAACCTTTTGGTTAGCAGCCGAGCTCTTAAGCACTGCACCACCAGGGCTCCTCTGGGGATACAGAGGTGGTCAAAACAGACAGGACCCATGCCCTTATGGAAGATGGTCTAGTGGGGGCAAACATTAAATATATCACAAATAAGTATAAAATTACATCTGTAAGAAGTGCTACAAAAGGGAGATTCGGGATGCCAGTAATTGGAGGAACTGACCTAATTTAGAAGTTCTGGAAAGACTTTTTCATAAAAAATAATCCACACAAGGCTCATCCCAAAAATGCAAAGATAACTCATGTCCCCACTTTCCCATTTCATCATCCTGTCACTAGCCACCCATGTGGCACTTTCTCTCTCTAATCCTAACCATGGGTCTCCACAAGTTAGAACGCTGTTCTTCTAGCCCCTGCCAGATAGGCAAACGTCATCCTATCTGCTGGTTCTTACTGCTCCTGGTGGATTCAGTAATTCATTAGAATGACTCACAGAACTCATGGAGACTACCTGTGCTTACATTACCCATTTATTATAACCAGAAAGGATACAGCAAATAGACGTTATCAGGCAAGGTCTGGGAGAAGTCCTGGCAGCATGAGGCTTCCAGGCTTCCATTGTCCTCAGGGGTGTGCCACGTTCTCCCATTCTCACCACTCCAGGAAGCCCAAAAGAGGAAATTCCAAGGTCCAGGGTCCCTTATAAGTCATTGGTACCTCAATGTATATGCATGACTGGAGCCTGGATACATATCATGAATCAATCCATATGTATGATTGATTCCATCATGCCACTTCCCTTTCTGAGGTTTGCTGCCAGGGTAGGGCTTGTGCCTCCCCTACTCATTTACACATGTTTCTGTGTTTACCTGGCTATTTTAGAAAACAAAGGGGGACCTTGATTGCTGGAGAAATCCAAGGGTTATTTATTTTCCAGAAACCAGAGACAAAGACCAAACCAAGCTCTTTATCCCATGCAGCTTCCTTGAAAGATTTAAGGATGTGTAGGTGTTAAGTAGGAAGCTCTGGTGAGGCGCTCAGCTGCTGACCGAAGGGTTGGTGGTTTGATCCCACCAGCCACTTAGTGGGAAAAAAGACCTAGTGATCTGCTCCCATAAAGATTAGTCTAGGAAACCCTATGGGGGCAGTTCTACTCTGTCCTATACAGTCTCTCTTAGCCGGAATTGACTCAAGGGCACACAACAACAGTAGGTGCTAAGTAGGTTAAAGAGGTGGAAGGATGAGTTCAGGAATAGTGGCATAAAACACCTATTAATTATGTGCATAGATTCTGTGGATGAGGGCGGATCAGACGGAGCTCAGATGAGACAGTTTATCTCTGCTTCATGATGTCTAGGGCATCAGCTGAAAGACCAGATGGCAGGGTGTGATTTGATGACTGGAGGCTGGATTTATCTGAAGGCTTGTTCACTGGCCTACAGGTGCTGGCTGTCAGGTGAGACCTGGCTTGTGCTGCTAGATGGATGCAGTGCCATTCCCTGGGTGGAGAACATGAAAAGTAGACTAGGATTAGGGAGGAAGGGTCATGAATTTAGTTTGGGGCACACATTGAATTTGAAGAATACTTTTTTGAGAAGATGTCAAATAAGCAGTTGCATATGTGGATCTGAAGCTCAAAAGAGAGGTCTAAGCTAAAGATAGAAATTTATGATTCATCTGCAGATAGGAAGTAATGGAGATTTAGGGTGTGCATGAGATCACCCAGGGAGATAGTCTGGAGTGGGAAGAAAAGAGGGCCTACCACTGGAATCCCTGGTTTGAGGGATTCTAATATATGCTGATCATGAAGAAGAAGATGGGCCAGAACAGGAGACAGAATAAGAACGCCAGATTAATGGGAGGACAACAGTGAAGTGTACCGTCGTGAGAGGTAAAGGCATTTAAGAAGATAGATGGGCACAGGATCAGATACTCCTGAGAAATAAGATGAGGACTGAAACATGTCCATTGGGTTTAATGATAGTCACGTTCAGTGGTTTGGGGGAGTTGTTGTTGGTAGTCGTCGAGTTGATTGCAACTCATGGCAACAGCTAGTGTGCAGAGTAGAACTGCTCCATAGGGTTTTCAGGGTTGTGACCTTTCACAAGCAGGTCGCTAGTTCTGTCTTCTGAGGCACCCTGGATGGGTTCAAGCCACTAACCTTTTGGCTAGTAGTTAAGCCCTTAACCATTTGTGCCACCTTAGGGCTCCTTTTGGGAAAGTAGAGACTCTGGAGTCCAGATCGGTATGGTGTAAGGAGTGAGTGGTGAGGAGGGGAAGACGGCAAATATAGGTAACTCTTTGGAGAAATTTCTTCCCTCAGTGAAAAAAGAGGGGAGGAGGATAGGAACACTGCAGGTGAAGGTAGATTTGATATTTTATGAGAGATTGAGAGAGTTTATTTTTGAAGAAAGAGATGAAGTCACCCTCTAAGAAAGGGAGTAGGAATGCCAGAATGATAAAAGTTCATAAGATTTGAGGTAGTCTTGGTGAAAGATGTGATAATGAGAAATAAAAGTGGAATCCACATTTTTGGTATTAATAGCTGCGATTGATTAAATTTTAAAAATGTAATCACTTACTAGTTTATTTGTTTTTTATCCTAATCCTTTTTTGTCAGAAGAATGATGAAAATGGAAACTGCTCAGGAGAAGGAATTGAATTCCCTACAACAAACCTATATGAACTGGAAAGCCGTGTTTTGACTGATCAGTGGTCTATCCCTTACAAGCGAGAAGAATCACTAGGGAAATGCCTGTTGGCGTCGACCTACTTAGCAAGACTTGGTAAGTTTTCAGACGTCAGATCCCATGAAAACATTTTTTGATAGGAAGCCTGAGTTTAATCCTAGCTCTTGTCATTGCCTGTCTTTGTAATCTTGGACAGATTATTTAATCTCTTAGTCTTTGTTTATCCCCTGTAGAATAAAAGCTTTGAACCAAATCAACTGTTTTCTTCTAGCTCCAATGGAGTATAGAACTCTTTAAAATATAATTGAAAAGCTTTATGGAAATTGAAATTGACTTTTTCCACAGAAACTTGGGGTACTTTAAGGCTTAATTTAGCAGCTTAATTTTTTTTTTTAAAAAGAAAAGAGCATAATATTTATTTAACAAACATTTTAATGCTTATTAAGTACTTGGCACTGTCCTAAGTGTTTTACAAATATTAAACTAACCCGAGTAATAAAATACTAGATTGGAAGCATGTGTGTCAATATAAGGAAACTTCTATAAATCTGTAAAAGAAAAAAAATATTTGTTATACTGATTTCAGTTATAAAATGAAATGAATTGGGCCACTTTTTGTGATTTTCTTTTTTAAAGGCATGCATAGTTTACTATCATGATTAAAGAGACACATTAAAAGGAAATATTTTGACTAAGATTTGATTTAACTGTAAGCAATATGCTTTTACGGCTGCACTTGTGATTGCCTTCTTGGCAGCAGCATTTATTGAGTTCCTGCTAGGATCTAGGTACTGCACTAGGCAGTGAATCTGAAAAAAAGACAATGTGTTAAGTTTAATTATTCCTAGTGATAAGCAAAATTTGTTATTAGTTTTTTTTTTTTTTAAAATGCATTACTTCCGAAGGATGATTTTTCAGTGGATTGATTTCATTCACTTAGCAAGTATTTATCACTTATTGCCTGCGAGGCACATTTCCGTATATTTTATTACACAGAGTTCATCTATATGTTTTAGGGAAGGAGAGTGGTTTTGGCATTTATTGAAATTTTTTTTTTTTTTTTTAAGAGCTGTTTAGGAAAACAGTAATGGCTAGCAAGTAGCTTCTGTTGGTCTTTTATTAGCTATTTAATTAGATCACTGAAGTTATTCTGACATGGACACCTAAGATCAACCATTTCAGTTCTCTTTAGTATTTACTTAGTCTAATGCTGTGGTTGTTTCTCAGCCTATTCTCTCACCAGAAAGTTTATATTCTGCTTTTAATAATCACTGAAGAATCAAAGTTTCTATGATAAATAGCTTCATATGTATTCATTTTGAATGATAGATATACTATTTTTATAAAGTACCTAAAATTTAAATAAGGTGTATCTTTTCATTTATTTTACTAAGGTCTTTGCGAGTCTGATGAGAATTGTAAAAGATTTATGGATAGGTGTATGCCTGAAGCATTTAAAAAGGTAAGAAAAATGTCCTCATCTGGTTTTTTAGTGGGAGTGAAGTTGGACAAGTTTTTTATTTTTGTTTTAGCTTTTTATGTGTGAGACTAGTTTATGAATTTTGTTCAACCAAGGAATCCTCTAAAATGAAAAAAGTAGCTCTAACTTTGGGGCTTATAAATGATTTACTTCTTTTATATTGTTCATATGTGTTTTTGGTTGAATATAAGTTTTACTTCCTGCTGTTTAATTGCTAAAGAATAAGTTAAGACTTAAGTATACTAGAAAATTACATATACATCTTAGTCAACTAAGGATTGTAGTGCTTAGAAAGATAATATTTATTTATCAAAATATAAGCCATTTTATACTTCTTATCATATAGAGACAGAAGCAAACATTTTAAACTTCTGAAAGTTTAACTGGATCAGGTATTCTTAGTGGCAAATGGCATGTGCGCAGCAGCATCTGTATCAGAGCTGGAGTGATACGCTCACGCCCATTTTGGTCACTTCTTAAAAAGCAATTTTTCTTAACAGTGAGAATAGGAGATCACAGGAGTCGTGTTTCTAAGAGCATTTTGACTTAGCATGATTCCCTTTTCAGAACATGAGTCTTGAATTCTCACTAGAGCAGGAACTATGTCTGTCATAGATACTGTCCTTTCTCCCAGTGTATAACTCATAGAAAGAGTGCAGTAAATGTTGAATGAATGAGTCTCCTGCTGTGTTGTACTTCTGAGTTTTGACATCCATTTTGGTCTCATGTGCAAGTAAGCCTCTAGAACTGCAGATGGGTGAAGTTTGTATTGATCTTAAAACCTAGTAAAACAGACTGTCCATTTGCAAATGATTATTCCCATCTGCATTTTGGTAGACAGAATCTCCTTTGATTTGAGACCTAAAAAGTAACAAAACTAATTTTAGAAACAAAAAAAGCTTCTTCAGAAAAGAAGAAATCTTTTTAAATTGTCATTTTGTGGGAGAGTTATATGGAACCAGGATTTATCTTCATTTTGGATGAATCGTCTAACAATTTGTAGTTTAAAATTATAGCTTTTTTAAAATGGTGAAATTTTTATAATGTAACACACTGTTAAACATATCATAATGTATGTGTAAATTTATAGAGAAAGAGAAAATACAAGTTTATTCAGTTGTGGAAAAGGACTTACTAGTCTAAAGAGAGAACCTTTAGGTTGATGATCTCCAGATCCAGAAAGCCCTGTATAAAGTCAGTTCACCAGAAAGTTACATATTTGGATTATAATAATCTAACTCTTAATAGAGATATTTCAGAGAACTGTTTTATGTTAAGCCCTCAGCTGTTAGTAACAGTATAATAAATGGTTGCATAAAGAACCATTGGTTTTGTTTTGTTTTTCCATAAAACTTTGAGTAGAAAGGTACTCTTCATTATGTTGTTCAGTGTTTTTTCTTTTTTATGTGAAAATGTATATGTTAAATTCTATTAGAGTTTAGAGCTAGTAAAAAGGTTCTCTCCCCATCAATGAGGCATATGTACTTCCTTGTATTAGATCAAAACAGCTACAGAATTCTGTGTGCCTTTTAGGCTTGGCTGCCAGAAAACTCAGTAGTATTTTATATAATTGCCATTGCTTCCCTTAGCATTGTGTCATGGTGTGATGAGCCTACTTCTGCCCTCCTTCCCCACCCAGGCGTTTTTTTATAAGCTGCCTCAAAGTTTTTTAGAGTAAGAATATAAATAATAAATAATTGCATGAATGAATGCTCAGAAGGAGCTTTGCCTGTTACTTCTACCTCCTTCACCTTTCACCTTCAGGCCAGCCTGGATTCTTTATTAGTATATTCAAGCAAGGGGGAAAAAAAATCTAGGTTTGGCCATTATGCATGATTATGTTTAAACCTTATGAGCATCTTCCTCACAAAGGTGCTGCCTGTTTTCCCCCACCTCTTCTGGAAGGTAGACAGAACTCCATTTTTCAAAGTAAAAAGAAAAGTGAACAAATAAGGTGGCGACAGAGGGAGTGGTGCTTAATCCACATACGTTTTTATCTTGTAGTCACATAAAGCTTCTTAAGTGTTAATCTCTTGCTTCATTTTGCTTTATTATTTAATTTGCAAATATAGAAGGAATACATATGCAAAAAATTCTTGCAGAAAATAATAATGCAATGGTTTATATAAACCCAGCCTTATGATTTTTGCTCATTTGAGGAAATAGTGCAGCTAATTGGTTTTTAGAAAATTTGGAACTGAGCTTTTTTCCATGCAGCTCAAGAAGTTTGGCCTCTTCTAGGCTGCTCTTTTTTAAGGGTTCCCAGTGTAGCTAATGTGATATTTTTATTGCACAGTGTTTTCCCTCTGAAGGGAAATCTTTCAAAAATGTATTAAACCACCATATCAATTTGCCATTATTTTATTAAGTGAAGTTCTTTGATTCCCCATTCCCTGTTCTGGCAGTTGTCCCTGAATTAGACTTCCCTTACAACTAGAAGACTGGAGATTGGAGGAATCCAACGATGATGATTTTAGATTCATCTGTGTGTCTTTTCCCTCCATTTTAATGAATCTAAAATGCCTTCAATGATAAGGCACCATTGTTTTATATTTTATGTTTATGCTTAAGAAAAATAGCTGCTAAGTAAACAATGTTACAGTGTCATATCACTTAGAAAGAGCTATTTTAGATTTGTTTAAACATTTTTTCAAATTGAATATTACTTTTGTACATACCAGATAGGAAACCATAAGTGAACTAAATTGGTAAGGTATTTCTAAAACTTTTTCACATTCGGAGTCCTGCTGTGTCTGGCCAGGAGATGGCATTGATAGGAAGATGCAGTCCTATTTCTGAGATGTAAAAAATGTATGTTATAGAATCAATGGAAACATAGCATTCATTTCTTAGATTCCAGAAATACTGATTAATAACTTGACAGCCAGCCATCAAGATACATTAATAATAATGCCTTACTATTTATAAAACAAAGAACTCTGGTGGTACAGTGGTGAAGCACTCGGCTGCTAACTGAAAGGTCAGTGGTTCAAACCTACCAGCTGCTCCGAGGAAGAAAGATGTGGCAGTCTGTTTCTGTAAAGATTACATACAGCCTTGGAACCCTTTGGGTTTCTACTGTGTTCCATAGGGTTACTATGAGTCGAAATCGACTCAACAGCAGTGGATATAGAGTATTTATAAAATGCTTTCCCATTTGTTGTATCTTTTGATCCTCATAACATCTGTGTAAAATGAGTAGGAATTAATGCCTCTTCAGAGATGAGAGAACTGAGCTTCTGAGAGTAAGATAAATTTGTCTAAGGCCGTACAGCTAGAGAACAGCAGTACCAGGAATTGATCTGAGGTTTTTACTTGCTCTGCATCACCTGGCCTCCCCTAGTAATAAGAAAAGTAGAGGAGCAAATAAAAATTTTATTTTAAACAAACTTCTTTAAGGACATTAAAATTCAAGAACAAAACAAAACTCTAAGTAAACTAATAAGTAGATGGACACTGCAGTTATGGATCTTTTAAAGCAAGTCATCTACATAAAAATAACTATTATGTTAATAATCTCTTAATTATTTGAGATTGAACTGATAAACTGTGGGCTTACTTTCTTTCTTTCAAGTTAAACTCTAGACTCTTCTTTATGTTTTTGTAGCTCCTGACATCAAGTGCTGTTCACAAGTGGGGTACTGAAATTCATGAAGGGATCTACAACATGTTGATGCTGTTGATTGAACTGGTTGCAGAAAGAATAAAACAAGACCCAATTCCTATTGGTCTCCTGGGTGTGCTTACAATGGTACAGTATCTCTAAAATGAAGTACTTTGTGTTTGGATTTTGTTTAAAATACCTGCTATCCTCTGACTCATAATTAATAATGAGTGATAATGATTTTATCTTTAGAGATATTAATGTTTAGGATTTTTGCTTTTTATTTTAGAAGCAGAGCAACAATCCTGTGTTTTCAGTTTAAAAGAAAGAACTTTTCCAATTTTAACAGCTTTCAACTTACAGAATGATTAAATAGCTTTCCCTTATCTCTCCCTGATTATTCACAACTTATATATCTTCACATAAGGTTTTCACATAGTTTGGTCTCTCGCCTTTTTCTCTGACAGCTAAGAGCATAGAGAGGGGACACTTAGTCATGCTCTTCCCTCCTAACTTCGTTTGTCACTGACCCTCTTGCCCAGTTCTACCTGTGGTAGTCCTAGTACATCTGGAGTTTTGACATCACCCTGCTTTGAATCAGACCTCTTATCCTGTTGCCTCCCTCTCCCCTCACAGCAAACATTGAAAAGGACAGAAGAGCACCAGATTAGTTGTTTGTTCCTCTGCACTAAGGAATATGATTTGTCAGTATACCTGGACCATTCCATTAATGAAGGAAGGAGTCCAAGGCTATATTTTATCTTCTTTTCTAATGCTAATATGTGTTGCTATAGAAATAGATAATAATAATGTTTCTCTGTTCTCTTGAAATATAGGCTTTCAATCCTGATAATGAATACCATTTTAAAAACAGAATGAAATTATCTCAAAGGAATTGGGCAGAAGTGTTTGGAGAGGGAAATATGTTTGCTATTTCACCGGTATCTACTTTCCAAAAGGTAAGCATAGCTTGTTTCATCTTTTTATTGAGAAACATATTGAAAGGGAAGATTTTCTGTGCTATAAAAATGACACTTTACATGAAAGGACTAAAACAGCTTATGAAAAATGACAAATATGGCTCATAAAATTGCTTTAACAATTTTTAAGACATTGCATGCTTTCCTATAGCTGTTAACTAACATCATGAAGAATTTTATAGATGAAATAATGTTTAATGAAATGAGAAGTGACCACATGACTTCAGTGCCCTGTTTATTGGATGATCAGAACCCCAGTTTAATTGGTGCCCCAGTTTCATAGAGATGTTTGAGAGCCTAGGACATTTGAAATGATTTGAAATGACTAACTGCACCTGGAGAAAATAATCTGGTAATAAGTCTCATATATAATTGTCTTTTAAACTTTATAAGCATAAAAACTTTTGCTTTTTCAAGCCCAGAACCAATATCTTTATCTTATATTTAAATGCCTTTAGTGTGCCAAGAACATTATACCCACAAGGAGTTCATAATTTAATCAATCCATTGGTTCAAACACTGGTTTATGAGAAACAGTTGAAAGAAGTCAATTTAATAAATAGAAAGCTTGTCCATTGCTTTAGTAGAAGGAGAGGTTTAGTTCAACAATCATTTATTGACCATTTACTATGTGTCTGGAAATATAATTACAAATAAAACAATCCTTTCCCTTAATATAAAGAGTAGTAAGACATGGTTCCTAGCTTATAGTATAGTGGGAGAAATATGAAAAGAAAAAAAAATTACAGTATAATAAACAATAGATGCAATTATAATAATATGTATGATACATAAAATACAGAGGAAGGAGTAGTTAATGCTCTCTTGGAGGATCAGACAATACTCCAGAGAGGAGGTAAGAACTGAGTAGAAAGCCACTGAGTATGTGCTTTGGGATTTAATCCCCACAACAACTCTATAAATTAGATACTGTTTTTAACCCCATTTCATCGATGAGAAACTGAGGCACACAGAGGTTAAGTCACTTGCCCAAGTTTGTATACCTAGTTATTGAAAGAACCCATAAAGTCCAGCTCCAGGGTCTGCTTTCTTTAACCATATGTAGTCGGTCTCCCAGAGTATTAAAATCTTCTCATCAGGGTTGTTGTGAGAATTAAATGACAAATGTATATAAAAACACTGAACATGGTGGTTCACTCTAGAAAGTACTCAGCAGATGTTCATTCTCTTCACCTCAATTTACTTTTGTAACAACTGAGACTCAAAAAAGGTTCAGTCTTTTTATTTCCTCTCATTGTCATGAAGGAAAGATCTCCCCTCCTCAAAGACCCCAGATCCGCTCCCCTCTTACCTTCTCAGTCATTTTACTCCTTAGATTTTCTATTCTGTCTTTGGTATCGTCAACCTTTTCCTCGTTATTAGATCATTCCCACTAGCATACAACATCTACTGGTATTGTCCATCTTTAAAAATTCTGCCTTTGCTACCACATCCCTCTGTAGTTTCAGCATGGTTTTCTGCTCTCCTTCCACAGCCATACCTTATGAAAGACTCCATTTCTTCCACTCCCGGTCATTCTTCTCATCTTTGCCTTAAACATTTTAACTTACTAACTGAACAGAATCTAAATGTCATCAATGTCTGTATCCTCTTCTGAGTAATACATCAAAACCTTCGAATGTTTTTTGTGATCTCTTGCTCCTGACTCATTTCTCTTTATTTTTATTGTTGTGCATTGTCTTAGTTCTCTCGTATATTTTTTATCCCATAAAATAGAATTCATCATCATTGTTATTTTATACAGTGTTTTGACATAGCCATATTTATATACTAATTTCTTTATGTACCATTTCTTCTGCATCTCGGACCTTCCATTTGATTTTTTTTTTTTTTTTCCCTTCTTCCTGAAGTGCATCATATAAAGTGTCCTTTAGTAAGGGTCACTAAATCTTTATTTTTGATGGCCAGAACTTCACTTTATTTCCCATTTATTTAAGAATATTTTCACAGGGTCTTAAATTCTGGATTGACACTTATTTTCTGTCAAAATATTGATTATATCATTCTGCTGACTCCTGTGTTTGTTGCTGTAGAAAAGTCACTTTTGGTCTGTTGTTCCTTTGTAAAAAGTCTTTTTTCCATGGCTGCTTTTTGAGATCTCCTCTTTCTCTTTGATGTTTGGCAATTTCAATCTCGTATTATTAACAGAGCCCTGGTGGCACAGTGGTTAAGAGCTATGATTGCTAACCAAAAGGTTGGCAGTTGGAATCCACCAGCTGCTCCTTGAAAACCCTATGGGGCAGTTCTTCTCTGTCCTATAGGGTCGCTATGAGTCGGAATCGACTCAGTGGCAGTGGGTTTTGTTTTTTTTTAACTGAGGTTTTTTGTTTTTTGTATTTGTTTTTTATCGTGCTTCAAATTCATTGGGCTTCTCAATCTAAGGATTAATGTCTTGTATCAACTCTGGAAAATTCTCAGCCATTATCTCTTCAAATATTGTCTGTCTTCTTCTGCAGCTTTGATTGGGTATATGTTAAGACCTTCTTATTCTGTCCTCCATGTCCCTTAACTTCTTTTCATATTTTCTATCTTTTTGTCTCCTTGTGCTGCATTTGTGATGATTTTTCTCAGATTTATAGTCCAGTTCACTAATCTTTTTCTACTGACATCTAATCTCCTGTTAAACGTTAAGTCTTTAATTTCAGTTAATGTGTTTTTCGTTTATGTAAATTCTATATGGTTCCTTTCCAACTCAGTTATTTTTTATTGTCTCATGTTCTTAACTCTTATTTTCAATCCCCACTTCTTTTATGCTTCATTTGTGATCTGTCTGATACCTGCAGGTCTTACTCTGTTGGCTCTTACTTACAATACTTTGTTTTGTGTGTGTGTGCATGTGTGTATGTATGTTGAAATACTTTGTTTTCCTGTGAGCTTACATTTCTTGGAATTAATCTAGGGAGATTTTAAGGCCTGAGTTGAAAGTTCTGTGTTCGGAAAGGAATTACTTTTATTTCTTCCAGGTGTCTGAGAATACTAGGATCCAGACCAGTTAAATTGTCACCTTAAGGTTTTTCAGACCATAAAGTCAGTGTGAATTTGGGCATATCCAAAACATAAAGAAGTCCTTGATTTAATCTTAAATATCTCTTCAATCTACTTCTTTCTATCTTTTCTGGTACCATCTTTCTTCAAGGACCATCATGTCTCATCTAGTTACTGCACTGGGCTTCCAACTAGTGCCTGTAGTTTTCACTTTCTCATTCATCCATTCCGTTCACCACATAACTGCAAGAGTGATCTTAAAACATAAAATGTATTACTGTCTTACTTAAAACACTTTTGTTGCTTTCCTCCTAATCATATTCTACAAGTTCGTATATGATCTGGCCGTTGCCTCTTTCTGCAACTTCATCTGTTGCTCTCTCCCCTGGCTCACCATGTTCTAGCTGGCAGTTTTCTCTCGGTTCTTCAAATTAGGTAGCTCTTTACTATATTCCCCACAGGGCCTTCGCTATTCCATCCGCTCTGCCTGGACTGTTCTTTGAATGACTAAATCTTTCTCATCCTTTAAGCCCCAGGTTAAGGAGCACCTCTCAAGAGTGGTCTTCCATCACCCATCACCCATAGAACAGGTCTTTATTCTCCATTTGAGAGGACCTTTTGTTTGCCTTTTATAGGACTTAGCACTATTTAACTATTTTTTATGTTTGTTGAGTTACTTGTTTTTGTTGACTGTGTTAGAATGTGAGCTTCTCTTCCTAGTCACTGTTCTGTATCCAGCCCCTGTACAGTGTGCAGGCCTGGGACAGTGAATGCTGAGAAAAGGAAAGAAAGGAGGAAGAAAACAAGGGCTTGCCCAGGAGCACTAATTAATTACACAACCAGGACTAAAACATTAATCTTCTTATTCCTGATTTATTACTCTTTAGGTTAATAATTGTTAATTTCTAAATGTCACTTAGAGAATTTAACTCAAGTTGTCCTGTTCTTTGGAGAGCTTAAACAACTGATCTCAGCTACCTAAAATGGCATAAATGTCCTATATTCTGGCAATCCCACCAAAATGCAGTCCGAGACTCCCAGAATTGTATACAGTAGTATCAAAGACTCACATTAAGAAACACTTGGAAAAACCTTTCAAAAATATTTTTTAAAATTTAATAGTTGTTCTCCAACTTTTCATTTAGAAAAAAAAAAAGTGAATGTTAATGTTTATATTGCCATCTCATTTTCTACTTCTTTTCTCATAGGAGCCTCATGGATGGGTTGTGGATTTGGTAAATAAGGTATCCAGCTTTTATTAATATGGTCACTGTAATATGTTTTCCATCTTTAAATGAGATTTCATGGAGTCCCTGGGTGGTGCAAACAGTTAAGCACTTGACTACTAACCGAAAAGTTAGCAGTTCAAACCCGCCCAGAGGCACTTTGGAAGACAGGCCTGGTGACCTGCTTCCAAAATGTCACAGCCTTGAAAACCCCATGGAGCAGTTCTACTCTGCACACACGGGCTTGCCCTGGGTCAAAGTTAACCTGACGGCAACTAACAACAACAGTGAGATACCCTAGAGTTTGGTATTTTAAGTAAATGACAGCTACAGAGAATAATCAGAATTTTTTCCTAAGGGAGGTAGGTTTTATGGTTCCTCTCCTTTTATGTAGTCTTTGTACAGATAAACATCAGCTTTAAAGCTCAGCACATCTCCTGCAGTATACCATAGGAGAATTAGCCGTTATCTTCATGATTCTCTTGAGACCAAATATTATACAACATAAAGTAGAATATTAGATTTGGTTGCTTGCTGAAATTAAATGTATGGCATTTAAACATTAATTTGTGTCTTTTTTCTTCTCAGTTTGGAGAATTAGGTGGGTTTGCAGCAATCCAAGCCAAGCTCCATTCAGAAGATGTAGAACTTGGGGTAAGTTAAACCACTGTGTACTCCATGTGGAAGTTCACTTCACTTGTGTTCGTATCCAACCTAGAGGACACAGTCTGTACACATTACATTAAATGTTAAATTATAAGTTCATCTTTACAAGAGCAGATTCATGGTTCTAATAATCAAATAAATCTTTACTCCTCATCAATCAAATTTCAATGTATTTAAGTATTTTTATCTCATTGATTTCCCTTTCCTATGGTATTTTTCTCTTAATTATCTTACTGTCTAAGGATATCTGCAGTAAGTGGCAAGTATATGTGTACCTAACAAATTTTATGACTCAGTTAAATGAGCATATAAATGAGCATTCATTTCATTGTATCAGGCAGGCAGAAATGAAAATATTTTATTTCAGCAAGGTTGCTTAGTAAGCTTTTTGGCATCATAGAGACTTACAGATAAAAAAGAGCTGTAAGATAGGAGCTTCGAATCATTCCTGAGTTGCAATACCATTATATTTTCATGTAAACTTCATTTCCTCAAAGAATAAACCTTGTGATAAGGGAAATAACTTAATCATTAATTTTTCACAGACTGCTGACCTGTGTAACTGAAACACTATTCTGTTCTCTAGTTAATCATTCAATTGAAAACATTGTGTTAGCTGCTGTATTTGATCAGTGCATAAAATGATGTGGTAAATATACCTAAGTGATAAAAATTGTACTTACAGTACCAGTTATTTCTGAGGGACCGTGACTAATCACCTCGCTTGGTCCCTCTTTGAATGAATAAAATAACAATGCTTAGGGAGAGACACTGATGCTACACGAATAGACTGACCCTTTCTTGCCACCTGCTTCTCATCCTTAAAGGTCAGATGTTTGCCAGATCATAAACTTAACACTGACAAACTTTTCTACTGATCAGGGAGCTTCTTCTACGTTTCTTGGAAGGAAGTTAATTAGGTTGTTGGGCTGTCATTTTGATCCCCATTGAATGGATAAAGTATGTTGGAAGTTGACCTGGAAGATAATAGTGATTTAAAAAGGAAAACAGAAGAAAATCCTATTCAAGTACCAGGTTTTTATTTTTATTTTTTCCCAGCTTTCTGGTTTCTCAAGAAATGGCTGTATAGGTCATTGGGCCTATATCAGAAAAATTTATTTCATTAAAAAAAAAATGTTAGACCGCTCACTAATTTACTGAAAACTTAAATACATACATACATACATACCCACCCACCCAAAAGTTCTACCCTACTTGACCAAAAACTGGCTGAGGATAAATACATCTGAACCTAAGCTGTTCCTCCAAGATTTTTCCCTTAGGTCAAACCATTTATCAGAACGACTGTATTGTTTGCTGCAGTTGATGTAGAATTATATTGTTTGACTTGTATTGAGGAGATAGTAAAACTCAGGCATAGGAGAGATTCTAAGGGTTAAGACTCTAATTTTAGCAAACAAATATAATTAAAATTTCATAGTAAGTGCTTGATTTCTGACCAGTTAAGAAAGTGGCTATGTCCCAAAGTAAATTTAGGCCATATTATATGGAGCCTTGGTGGCATATTGGTTAAGAGCTCGGCTGCTAACCAAAAGTTTGGCAGTTTGAATTCACCAGCCACTCCTTGGAAACCCTATGGGGCAGTTCTACTCTGTCCTGTAGGGTCCCTATGAGTCAGAATTGACTAAACGGCAATGGGTTTGGTTTGCTTTTTTTGGTTATAAGACTTATGTACAAGTCACATATTTTGAATTTGAAAAATACAATGAGAAAAATATGACTCACAATCCCACCACATAAGTATACCTGTACAAAGTAAGAAATGAAAGTTGCATCTCCCTACACTCCCTCACCCCTACATACATACTCACCTGCCATTTAATATATAGCCTGACTTTTTTCTAAATTTACATAAAAGGTAACTATGCGTGTTCTCTCTCTCTCTTTAAAACAAAATTGTAATCAAGCTGTACCTAGTGGTATATTTTCATTTAACCTTATCTTGTGGACATCTTTCCAGGTCAGTGCTGTCAGTCTTTTTAATGGCTCTATCGTATTCTTGCAAATGGTGTACCATCACGCAGTTACTTATTAATGGACACTGGGTTATTTCTACATTTTTGCTGTTACAAAGTGTGCCTTGTAAATGTATCTTCATGTACTTGTGCTATTATTTCTAAAGGATAGATTCCTAGAAAATGAGGTTTCTGGGTTAAAGACTGTATTCATTTTTTTATTATAATTGACAGCACTAAATCTCTAACCAAAAAGCTTATACCAGCCTGTACTCTCACAAATATTTCCTAATATTCTCATCAGTGCTGAATATTTTCAGTTTTTAATTTTCCAACATGATGGAAAAAAATACTGTTATTATTTACCTTGTAATACTCTGATTTTCTATGATTTTGAGCATTTGTTCATATGATTATTGCTTATTTGTGTTTCTTCTGTGAATTGCCATGGCTATTTAGTGACTCTTTTGGGTTGTTTATCTTACTAATTTTCTAGGAATTTTTTTTTATATTAAGCATATCAATGCCCTGTCTGTTTTGTGTGTTTGCAAATATTTTTTATCCCAGTCTTTTGTTTCTCTTTTTAATTTTTATTGATGGTGTGTTTTACTGTACAGAAGTTTCAAAATTTTATGTAGTCAAATTTTTCTGTAATGGCTTACTTTCTGACTTGCTTAAGAAATGTCCCCCTAAAGCCAACACAACTTATCCAAGGCAAGGTCATGGAAGCTCCGTAAACACATCCATACTCCCTGAGGGACCAGATTACTGGGCTGAGGGCTCTGGGGACCATAGAAAAAAGAAAAGAAAAGAAATGTACCCCCCAGCTCCAGGTTATAAAAATGTTCTTTCATTTTTATACTTTCATGGTTCTGTTTTTTAAACTTAGCTTTTGAATCTATTTAGAATTTATTTTTATATATTGTGTAAAATAGGGATCCATTTTTATTTTTTTGCAAGTGAATAACCATTTTAAGATTCTTTACTGAGTAATCCATCATTTGTGAACTATTTTGATTTGCTGGCTGTATTGTATGTCAAAGGCATGTATGTATATGGCTTTGTTCCTGGACTTCTACTGCATTCATTCACTCTATGGTTCATTTCTGTACTATTGCTGTGCTGTTTTAATAATTGGTACTACCAGCCCTGCCCATTATCACTCTTTTCTAAAATTCTCTTGGTTAGTCTCATATTTTTACTCTTCTGGATATAGTCCGCATGTCAAGTTCCCTTGAGAAAAATCCCATTGACATCATGATTGGCATTGTGTTAAATTTATAGGTCAATGTATGGAGAATTGTCATTTCTACAGAACTGCTTGGAATATGGTATCTCTCTGTTGATTTGAGTCTTCTTTTATGTACTTTGGTGAAGTTTTAAAATTGTCTTCATATAGGTCCTAAGTTTTTTTTGTTAAAAGGACATTTCACTCCTTCCCAAAATACGCTATCCTTTTGCCAAAAATGTTCATTATTCTACTATATGAACTTCAGTATCATTTCATCCAGTCCTCCAAAAAAATCCTGTTGACATATTCTGATTTAAATTACATTAAATTTCTATAATAATTTAAAAGAGTTGACATCTTTTTATCAGTTTTTCCTATCCAAGAGTATAATTTGTCTAGTCATCCGTTTATGACTTGATCTAATAATCACTATTTAAATTTTTCTCTGATACATGGAAAGGGTTTTGTTTAATACTGAAAGGAAAAAACCCTCTCCTATTTATTTCTCACATTCGTTGTGTCTTTTTCCAGGCAGTCTCGGCATTGCTGCAGCCCCTAGGAGTGTGTGCAGAGTACCTTAACTCCTCAGTGGTACAGGTAAGACTAGGCCAATTTACATGTACTTCAGAAGGTGATCCAAGACATGTGAACAGTAATAAGTCTCTTTTTATGAGGCTGTTTAGCCTTATGCCTAGTCCAGAGTAACTTCTTTTTCTTTTGTATTTTCAGATTAGCTAATAAGTATCTTTTTATGAGGTTTTTAGCATTATGCCTAGTCCAGGGTAACTTCTTTTTCTTTTTTCTTTTTTTTTTTTCAGATTAGCGTCCTTTTAGTAAAAAATATTACCAGAAGAGTCAGGAAACGATAAGTCGTTTAAACTATAGGAGACATTTGAAAGGCTGTTTACCTTTTCAAATTATATTATCAGTTGTAATTTCTGTATGATAGCACATATTTCTCTGTTTCTTTATCTGTAAAATGAGCATATATTACTACCTACTTCACAGGATTATTTAAGCACACAGTGCCATTATGTGAGATCCCTATGGGTCATATATGGTTTGCACTCGACTGCTTTTACTAACTTAAACATTGGCAGTTAGAACCCACCCAGTGGTGCCACTGAAGGCCTGGCAATCTGCTTCCATAAAGAAAACCCTATGGAGCAGTTCATGGTTTGCCATGAGTCAGAATTAACTGGATGGCAGTGGGTTTGGTGTTTGTTTTTTCTTTTTCAGCTTGGCCATTATGTGCTAAGTTAGATCAGCGTTAAGCAATTGGCTAGACTAGCAAAGTCACTCACTTCTGAATCACAGCTTCACAGCACAATTCATCTGATTTCCTGCCTCTGCAGAATTATAAGTCACCAGGTCATGGAACAGTCAAAGCTATGAGTGTTCAGTTTTCTAATGTTAAAGGCTTGTTATATTTTCTTATTCCCTTTCCATTTGAATTAACAAGTTTTACTAAATATTATATTGAAATGCCTCTGTTTATTATTTTCTTTATAAATAAGTCTGAGAAACCTGTAACTTTTACAGAGGGTTTTTCTGTTTTTTTTTTAAATCGCCATAAATGGTTTTGAAAGCGTAGGGTTCTTTGGGAGTAATGTTTCTGTATGCACTGTTCCTTCTTTCCAATGTCATATTTCCTTAGCACCATTTTAACAAGGGAGATGTGATTTTTTTACTAGGTTCTGGAAGTTTTTGCTATTTCTAAATGTTAAATGCTTTCTTTAGCTATCAAGGTAATACTGCAAGATTTTTAAGTGAAATAAAATGGCTGTTTATGTATTTCTTTCAAAACATCTAGTGTTCTTCAGGTTATTAAACATTCAAGGCTAACCTTTAGTTTTGTAGCTAAAACATTAAGGCATAAAGAGGCAAGATGATTTGACTGATAAGCTTTTTAATAAATCGGGGTCAGGATTAGATTTTAAATGCATGCAGTATCTATGCGTTGCTCTACTGGAGGGAAGTCAACAAATATTCCAGCTGCTAATTAATATTAACTTCTTTGGAATTTCCAGGTTTTACATATCAGTACAGTTTAGAAAGGATAAGAAGTACATGAATTTCCAACCAAAACATATTTAACTTCCTTTTTAATTATTTCAAACTATCCAAACTGAAATTAGTTTAGCAATAAACTCATACCATAATAAATGTTACTTGACACAAATTAAACAGTTGTCTCCACCACTAGCTACTTGTGTGACTTGGAAAGATTTATGTAACCTTTTTGCCTCAGTTATTCATCTGTAAAATGGTGATGATAAGATACTTACCTCATACAGCTGTGGCGAGGATTAAAAAGGGTCTAGCACATGCCAACAGGATCACTATGACTTGCCTCTTAACTGTAAGAGCTTCAGTCCTTTTTGTACAGTTGGCATAAGTGTAAAAGGAAAAATCTATCTGGATAATTGCCTAATGTCATTTTAATTCATTGCTAATGTATTCATGACCCTGATAGCCAAATATTGTCTGTCTTCTCTCCTTACCAGCTGTTTCTAAGTTTTATAAATTATTTTACTTATATAGAGGTAATAAATTAGATCTAGCTAGTATTTTACTGCTTCTTACATACTGTTTAGAGTGTGTTATCTGCTTAGGTTACCATTCTGGAGGACTGTGTAGGTATGAGTCTTAGCTATAGACCTCATTCATATCAGCAAGCAGAGTGCACACAACAGCATACTTAGCATGGTTTACGTTGTATTCATTTTTAGAAGTTAAATGCAAAATATTTACTTTATTACAAAAGTAGATACTCATTCTTGAATGTTTTAAAAGTTATTCCTTGTGTCTTCTGTTGCTCTTCAAAATTACCCCAATAAAATAGTAATGACAGGCGTTGCACCCATGTAACATATAATGAAACTGGGACACTGAGTCAGGTAAGGCTTCACTTTGTTGGTATTAACTAGTTAGTAGTGGCTGTCATACTAGAACGAAGACCTTTTCATTGCACCCTTTCCTTTGTGAATTGTGAGTGAAGTATCTCCTCTTCTGCTTTTGGGACAGATTCAGGAACCCTTATTAACTCCAGCGTTTATTTTCTGCAGCCCATGCTAGACCCAGTTATCCTCACTACAATTCAGGATGTGCGGAGCGTGGAGGAGAAGGACCTCAAAGACAAGGTAAATGCTGTCTCCAGCCAGTTAGGCCCTAGGCCAATTAGTCCATGGAAGCAGAGCCACGACTTTGGGCAAAGTTCAGTCACTGTTGCTCATTAGGTTCTGGTCACATGGGTTTACACTTCATATCAAATTGATTTTACGTTTTCTAACCTAAAAATGCTTTTCCTGAAGCGTCAGTTATGGTGTTACCACGATCAGTAGAATGAATATAGGGTCCTCTGTAAGTGAATTTTATTAATGTGTTAATTTTGATAGTATTAGAATAAGTCTAGAATTGAAACTTTTAAGTAATGCAGTATTAAAAGCTTATCCAAAGTTGTTTAAAGCAATTTTATTATTTAAATTTAACATGATTTATTTTGTCAACCTTGAATCTCTCACAGGACCCTCCTCTTTCCTTTGCTGCTCACCCACGTGCTAGCTTTATTTAGAAGCAAAATGAAATTAATTGGCTGTATAGAGTATCAGATATCCCGAGACCATTACTATTATTGAAATTGTCCTGTATCCTTACCTTATTTCCTTTGTGTGTTGTAAGAATTGAGATCAACATGTTCCTCTTCTTTCTCTCTCTTTTTTTTAATTAAAAGAGATTGGTTAGCATCCCTGAGCTCTTGTCTGCCATTAAGTTACTTTGCATGCGCTTCCAACCGGATCTGGTCACAGTTGTGGATGACCTACGGCTAGACATTCTGCTGCGCATGCTGAAATCGCCACATTTTAGTGCTAAAATGAATTCCCTCAAAGAAGTAAGTTTTTCATTTGTTTCTAAAATACTTAAAGCACACACACTGTAAGTTCTGCCAACACTTGTGGTTATTAAGGTAAAGGCCACATGTAAGTATTGATATTTTATATGTGGAAAACATCCAGTTATTACAGCTTCTTCCAAGTTCTGCTGTTTTGAGCTGTATTGGTATATAAAAGATCAGCCATCTTTTTATATGTATTGTATTCAAAATTCTTTCTCTGAAATACTTGGAATATTTAGTGTTTTTGTGAGATTTTATAGAAAGTAATCCTTTGGAAGAGGGCAGTGGTTGTTAAGTGGTAGAATTCTCACCTTCCGTGCAGGAGACCCAGGTTCGAATTCCTGCCAGTGCACCTCAAGCACAACCACCACTCGTCTGTCAGTGGAGGCTTGTGTGTTACTGTGATGCTGAGCAGGTTGCAGCAGAGCTTCCAGACTAAGACAGTCTAGGAAGAAAGGCTTGGCAGTCTATTTCCAAAAATCATCCAGTGAAAACTGTATTGATCACAATTGTCCAATCCCATTGTGCATGGGGTCGCCATATATTGGGGGCCAACTCAACAGCAGCTAACAACAACAGCACTCTTTTGCAATTTGTAGTTTAGGATTTACCTTTCACCTTAAGGGTACAGTTCTTTTTATTTTATTGAAATATGGATTTTCTTAAACCAGACGTTCTAGTTGGGTTAGGGCAGAACAAAATGACGACATCTGTGATAGTCTAAGCAAAATGATGGAAATAATTTCCTGTAACTTCCTGGACTTTGTATAGATCCACATAAACAGCATTAGTTGGTTTTGGTCAATGAGAAGTAGAGCCAGGATAGTTCAGTCATAATTCTAGGTATTTTTCCTTGAGTTTCTTCATTAATTAGGAACCTTGGCTGTAAGGGAAAGAAAGTAATCTTGAACCACCTTAAGCCAAAAGGGGAATTTATTGGAAGGAGGCTGGACTATTTAACATAAACGAAGGATTGAGGAGCCAAACCATGGAAGGGCAAGAAATCATGTGGCTGCAGGAATAGCTAGAATTCGAGACTTGACAGCTGCCAGGACTCCATCAAGTCTTGTCTCTGCTGTTTTGAGCATGTGGTCTCATTTTCTATCTACCTACAGAGTGACATCTTTCATATGGTAGAGATGATGGCCATTGATAGCTCCCCAGTTTCACATCCTGCAGTCCCCATCATCAAAGAGAGACTGATACTTCCTTCAGTCCCAAGTTCACAATTCAGAGGAAGTGCCCTGATTGAGCCCAGGTCAGCTGTTCATCCCTGAGCCAGTTAGCAGTGGCCCACCAAGTGAGAACTGTAAGGACTTGACTCCATGTTCTCTTTAAAGAGAGATCACAGATGGTAGTCTGTTAACTTCTAATAACCAGCCTTTGATACATTTTGACTGATTATCAGACCACATGTTAACATAAAAATCACAGCTTCTGTATGTAATGATTTTGATTATGTGTATTTACATTAGATTCAGTCACAATAATCTTGTCTTTTTAGGTAACCAAACTAATAGAAGACAGCACTTTATCCAAATCTGTGAAGAATGCAATAGATACAGACAGATTATTAGATTGGCTAGTAGAGAACTCAGTTCTGTCAATTGCATTGGAAGGTAAGTTGCTTTGAAAAAAAGAAGTTATCTAACATATAAATAATGTCTGTATAAAAAAGGTACAGCATTGTTGCTTTGACTGTATTAGCCTTTAAATAATCTCATAGCAAGTTACTGTTGGTTTGAATTAATAGAATAGTATTTAGAAGACTCAGTGTTTACCTCATCTGTCTCCTCTCTGTTGTTTTTTTCCATTAGGCAACATAGACCAAGCACAATACTGTGATCGTATAAAGGGAATTATTGAACTCTTGGGTAGTAAATTGTCTTTAGATGAGCTGACTAAAATTTGGAAGATACAGGTAAGTTGAGCAGAACTGTTTTTGCCTTTTCCTGACATTTTTGGATTTAATTTAGGTAGTGTATTGCAACAAAGGGCTTATGACCAAATTAACAGATAGTCTGAAGTAAATTCAAAGGAAATTAATGATTAAAAGCATAAGCTTTTAAGTCAGAGAGCCTAAGATTGAATCCTGGCTCCATTACAAATCAGTTGTGTGATTTTCACCAGTTTACTAAACTACTCGTGTGTGAGCTTCAGTTTCCTCATTCTTAAAATGAGTTTAAAAATAACCTACCACACCTACTTGTCATGATAAATAATAGTTAATATAGTACATTCTGCCTGGCACATGGTAAACACTCAAATGGTACTTATTATTAAACTCTGTAGGTAAAGGGTTAGGTATTAACTATCTGTACTCTTAAAATATTTTATTAATTGAATTCATTCATTCAACAAACATTTATTGACTGCTGTGTGCTAGGCACTGTGGATATATCTTGTGCTGAACCATGTAAAATTGTTGCTATTCGACCATTTTTCACTTACAAAAATGGTGGTTACATATGGTTCAACCTATATGTAGTCCTACCCCTCAAGAAATTTATAATATAGACAGGAAAATAATGAACATAATATGATATTAAATTGCTGCTAAGTTTCATGCTAAAAATGCTAGAACTGCCAGTGAGGTGACAATGCCTTCAAGGATTCTAGAATCTCTTGCTGCCATAAATGCCAGCACTTCCATCCACTGTCTGAGCTTGAACCAGAGACACTTCCTTCCTCCTGCCTTCTAATCTCCCAGCCGTGCCTCTCACTGGCAGAACACATTGGAAGAAGCTAACAGAGGAGTTTGGGAAATGTAGTTTGCAGGCCCCTAGCCCAGCAGTTTAGAGCAGACTATAGAAGGTTAGATGTGGAACTGAGAGATAATAGTTCCAAGTCCTACAGATTTTACTTCCCATGTCTTAACCTTGGTTGTATACCCTCATATAATTTTGTTCCATGAGTATAAGTTGAGTCCATGTCAGGATGAAGATTATAGACCATGATATATGTTTTGTATAGCCCTTCTACGTCCATCGCATAGTAGACACTGAGCAAATACTTGTAGAATTAAATCTAAAAATGTCCCTCTGCCTTTCAAGTCTTTCACATGGCAAACAGTGAGGCATGAAGATGCCATGACTGAGGTTATAAAATGAGTCTGAGACTTACTGCACATGGGATAAATAAATATTAATTGAAGTCACAAAATATCTATGAGCAAATAAAAAGTGAGGCAGATAATACTTTTAACTAAAAAAGGCCTTCAGGATCATTTATAAAATGTCAAAAGTGAATAAGCTTATCTTGTATTTTAGCTTGAATTTTTTTAGCCAGTTGAAAATATTTTGTTCTCGTCTTGAAATGAATGTCAGATTGAGAACTTGATTCTTATCTTTTTTTATATTTTACTTTATATTAGGAATTTAAATAAGGCCAACTATAATAACCATTAATAATGGCTGCTTCATTTAGTCCTGCCAATATTATCACACAGGTGCATGCTGAATAGTGTAGAATCAATTTATCTTTGTTACTTTTTTGCTTTCACTTCTATAGATTGCCAGGGAGAAAACTTAAGTGTTACTTAACTGTTTTCCAATGTTTCCTCTTCTAGTCAGGACAATCATCTACTGTGATCGAGAATATTCATACTATTATCGCGGCAGCAGCTGTGAAATTTAACTCGGATCAGCTTAATCATTTGTTTGTTCTCATTCAGAAGGTATGTGTTCAGTCAAAATTGCTTACTGTTAAATTTTACTAAAATAAGCTCATTTTGAAGTCTCCCCACTCCAAATTGTTGTTAGTTGCTGTTGAGTCACCTCCGACTCATGGCGACCTCACGAGCATAGAGTAGAACCACTCCATAGGATTTACATGGCTGTGATCTTCCGGAAGCAGGTCTATAGGCCTGTCCTCCCAGGCACCTCTGGATGGGTTTGAACCACCAGCCTTTTGGCTAGTAGTCGAGTGCTTGACCGTTTGCACCACCCAGGGTCTCCAAATTAGCAGCATTTAAATGTATTATTCTTACTTGTTAAACTCTTTAAGCTCAAGTTTTAAGTTTTTGCATATTTTGCCAGTTTGATAAAATCAGATTATGAAACAATTCTTATGTCTTTTCTTTTCCATTCCATAGAGCTGGGAGATTGAGAGCGATAGAGTAAGACAGAAGCTACTGAGCCTGATAGGACGAATAGGCCGGGAAGCTCGCTTTGAAACCACTTCTGGAAAGGCAGGAGAATAAAACGAATTTTTCTAGCTACAAATATTTAAAGCGGTTTTATTTGCACATTGGCTGGCTTATCATATGCGGTGTAATTGTAGGTGTTAGACGTGCTCTGGGAACTGGCTCATCTTCCGACCCTGCCCAGTAGCCTCATTCAGCAAGCCTTGGAGGAGCACCTGACAATCCTTAGTGATGCATATGCAGTGAAAGAAACAATCAAGAAGAGCTACATCGTCAAGTGCATAGAAGATATTAAAAGGGTCAGTTTTATTTTTAGTCTAATCTTATTGTCAGAGCAACAATACTGCCTGAGTAATTAGAGACAAGTAATTTTCCTCCCCTATTATGTAAATTAAACTAAGCATCCTGCCTGGAAGCTCTTAACTTAAGAGTCCTAAGATTGTGAAATTACAGGTACTGTTTTTAACCAAGTCACTTATATTTCTCTTAAAATGAATTTCCAGCCTGGAGAATGGTCAAGTTTGGATAAAAACAAGAAGGATGGATTCAAGGTAAGAATTTGCAAATGAAATCAAATTTAAGGTATACTAGTTTAACAGTTCTCTTTAATAAATCGCATCATGATTTTAAAATAATAGTATGTTTTAGTGTTTCTTATGATAATGTTTATATACAACCTTAATGTTTAAATAGTTGTTTATGACCTAAGCTTTATTACTTAAAGCTCGGATGGTTATTGACTCTCAGGGAAAAAAATACATCCAAGGTCATATTCAAAGAGTGGTTTTATTCTTTTCGTGGAATTATAAGACCTTCAACTTCATTTTTCTCTTTTAAATTAAATCCAAAGTATACACAATTTAATTTAATAAGTACAATGGATTCTAAATAATCATGGTACCCACTGGGGAAGAAATGGAGGCACATTCACAGAGTAAGAGAGGGAGGAAGAAGGGAAGAAGAGGGTTAGTTCACTGCTGGCACGTAGTAGGTTTTCAGGTGCTTGATTCAGACCTTTTCAGGTAAATTCTTTAGGCAAACAGTTATTGAGTGTTGCTGGGACTCGATTTTACAAAGTGGGATTGGGTAGTGATTGGAAAGAGGGACTGGTGCTACAGAAGCCCTGCCATTCACGGCTCTGGCCTGCAGGTTATAGTGGACATATGGACTGTCCTTTGAAATGATGGTTAGTGATTAAGCGATAGTGATTGTAGCTGTTCTGTTGCTCCAGTCCTTAAACCTCAGGTCTCTCCTCTGAGAGTGATGATCTCAGTGGCCAGCCCAATGGGGCGGAATGTGCTTCCATCATCACAGCTGCCCTAATCAGAGCCACAGCCTCCTCACACTCAGCCCTCAGGTTGTCCCAACCACACTTAAAGCCTAGCAGTGGGAGGGATTTCATTTTACGAATTTCATTTTTATTAACATAAGGAAAGTTTTTTGGTAAAATAGCTAGTAGCTTAGTAATTTCATTGGTAGAACGTATACCTTGGCTTACATTAATAAATCTTCTTTTAAAGGATCTTGAATACTGCCAACTAATTTTAATTGGTATTTTCAGAAACTCTTTTAGCTCTTATAAAGAGGCTTTGGTGACTAAGTGGGCTTTTATTTTATTCTCTTTAGTAACATTTGGTTGTAAAGTTTAGGTGGGAACATTTAAGAACTTTGTGTTTGATACTTCTGATACTGAAAATTTTCATCAAGTGAGTTTTCTACATATAAACCTACCTTAGAAATTTTAAAAGTCGTTCACAGACTGGAGTGGATAATGCTCATGTTGTGAGGAATTATTCCTTTAATTCAGCAGCATTGTTCTCTTTCTACTCAGATGCAATTTGAATTTTTCCAGTTTTTTCGGCTCAGTGATTCAGATAATTTAACAGCCTCTGTCTTTATGATTGAAACTCATCCAGAGTTAATGAAGGAGTTTAGATGCTAAGAGAAAAGGGGTAAGAGGATATCTATGGAAAAATGGTCTTTTCTTCTCTGTACGTTTCTTTATAGATAGAAGGTCAAAGCTTGAGGGACTTATCTTCCCTCCAGGGAAATGGCTTTTGGAACCAGAAAATCCTTTCTGACCTTCTCCCTTCCTTCCTTTTTACAGCTAAGCATTACTTAGCTCTTCTAGCCAGTAGCATCACTGCATCTTTGTTGCTTCTCTCTGCAGTCACTTCATTCATGTCTGTTGTTTTATAACAAAACTTCTCAAAAAGTAATAGGGAAATTTTTGGAGTCATTTTGTGAGACTTAAATATTTTTCCTTTTTTTTTTTATTTCCCCACTGCTCCCAGTAAAGAAATTCTGGTATACCACTATTTCATTTCAAATAATAGTATCTTGCATTTATATAGCACTTTTCCGTTTACTAAGTGCTTTCACGATGCTCTCTTAAAGTACACGATGCTGAAGGGGGTCAGTGGGAAGATCAGAGCCCCCTGGATCTGACTCCAGGCAGGGGGGTGAATTATATACTGCCACTAAAGGTGTTTTTCTATGCTATGCCCTTTCCTGCCAGGCAGCAAGGTGGGCTGACTGGGGATTATGTCTCCCTGCCAGGCTACACAGAAACTAAGCAAAGGGTAAGACAAGATCACCCACCTCTTATTCCCCTCCCACCCTCAGCTACCTCTATTTCCCCAACTGATTCCCCTTCCCTCTGCTTTTGACACTCTTAAAATTCCCAAGTTCCACTGTTGTGTTCAGAAATTCTGACCTTTATTTCTGTAGATCCTGCCAGGATACCCTTGGCTCCCTTGGCCCTCTTTCCTTTGCTTCCTTTATGCCTTCCACTGTCTACCCCTAACCCTTTCCCTCTTATTTCACTTCTTTTTTTTCCTTCAATTAAAAAGTTTAAATGTACTCATCCCCTCCAAAATTACTAAAACAAAAAAATCATTTTTATTCAATTAGTGTTTGCATATTCCTTAAGTTGCTATCTTAAGACCACATAGCACAGTGCCTGGCAGGCTTTCAGTAACTGTTGGTTCCCTTCCTCTTACTGCCTCTCCTTTGCCCTGTGAGGACACTCAAATGTTACGTATCCATAGTTGAGTGACCTCTACTTGCCAAAACATGTAACTAAAAATAAAAGTAGCAAGATACCCTCAGTGTAGTCTCACAGTGATGTTAGTACAGGAGGAAATACTTTTAAAATTTTTCTCCCATGCAAAAATACATGCATTGGTTCTAGATAGATGGTTAGATCTGGGAAAACAAGACAGATGAGGAAGTGGGGATGTTCAGCTTTGAGAAGAGAGAACTTGAAAGCTTTCCTCTGATATTTAGAGGACTGTTGTAGAGAAGTTTGATTGAACATACTCTTTTATATATCCTAAGAAGTTATGGGGAGGCATGTTTCAGTGTGATAGACTAGTGAACTTTCTGTAAGAACAGTCTGAAAATAGAATACGTTGCCTCCTGAGGTAGTGGGTTCCTCATCACTGGAAATAGTCAATCATTTCGAAAAGATGAATAAGGAAAATTTAAGTGTAGGTTTGCAGGCTAAACCAGCTGACCTCTTAAGGTTTCATCTAATTTTAAGAGTAATTTGGACATTCCATTAACTCCTGCTTATGAAACCTCAGCGCCATGACATTATAAGATATGTGTATTTTGTTTACTAAGTTGTTTGTCCCTTTTGTAATTGGGGAAGAGTAATTTAAGTTTGTCTTAAAACTAAGCAACATAGAGTCATACATAGCATGGAATAAAGGATATCTTTAGCATTTGGGTGCTAACCAAAAAGGTCAGCAGCTTGAATCCACCAGCCACTCCTTGGAAACCCTATGGGGAAGCTCTTCTCTGTCCTATAATGTTGCTCAACGGGATTTTTTATTCCTGTTTGCTAAATTTTAGAGATGTTATTTTAGATATAATTCTTAAATTCCAGTTTTATATTATTTTTTATTTTAATTTGATTGTATAATGAGTTACCTTCAAAGGATAATTTTCAGTGTTAAATAAAAATACTTAACCATAATTGACTAACTGGTCATAATACTTTTTAATATATCTGCTTATTGCTAAAGGATTTATGTTTACATCCTAATTTTTGTAATCCTTTTGGAAGGTATCAGTTTGGATTTCAACCTTAAGAGTTTTGCTCAGTGTCATTTTACAACCTTTATATTTTAGCAGAAATATTCTAGCGAGTCTCGCAAGTAGTTGACCTTTATACCTTATTTCTCTGATTCTAAGATGCCAATGATTGCAACAAGTATCTCAAATTTAGTAAATTTGCAGAAACTGTACATTTTAATTTTACCAACCAACAATGAGTTATATTTACCCCAATGATTGCATACATTTCTTTAGGGTCACAGGCAGTTTGGGTTTAAGCCTTCTTTTGACCTGTTATGTACAGCTTCACTGTGGCACACTGCTTTTCATTATCTATTGTAGTGCTTTTGACCTCTTTGAAATCATTAAGATTAAGTGTATAATTCTGAGGCATCCTGAAAATATGGAGTTTTGTGTGCTTCTCCTATTTCATAAGATTCAAGCTTCTTTTTTCCTTAGTTGAGTTACGTGTACTAGAAGTTGAGCAGCTTCTCTTGAATTAAGTTGCGTGTTTGGACAGAGAGACTTTTAGTGCTGAGTGATACAGCCCCTCACAGAGTGAGTCTGTCACCCCAACTTCTCTTGGCTTTGAAAAATTCTTCAGTCTGAGACTACTGGCAGTTTTCTTTGCTTTTAGTTGTATTGACAGACACAACAGCCAAGTCATTGCTACATCATAGGTGTAATCTTTTTGATAACATTTTAAGTAACAAATCAGTGATCCAAATTTAAGTTAAAAATCCATCCTTATTTGGTGTTACCTGTACCAAGTAACAGCTAAAATGACAGGTAGATGAATAAATAAATACCTTTTGTATACAACTAAGTTTGCAAATATTCAGGTAAGGACAGCTACATGATAACTTAATCCTATGCCTAGTGGCTGGTAAATTTCTTTTGACATAATTGTAAGAAGCATCAATTTAAAAAATGTTAAAATTTGTAAAACCTGTGTCTTAGAATCCAGGAAATATGGTATTTGCTGATTGATTGGTTAATCTTTTCAAGGCAAGGAAAACATTGTTTTGGCAATGGCTCTCTCATGTTTACATATTTAGTAGTAGGATTTTTTTCTGCAGAAGGCATCAAAAGTCCTGTCCCTCTCCTCCCCCCAAACCAGACATCTTGATTTTATAGAAAGACTTGACAAAAAAAGGTTTTTAAAAAACGAAACGCAGCCTTTAAAATAAATGTTAAGGACTTAAGCTTTTACTCAGTTTTTTTTTAGTTAGAAACTTAATAATTGGTCAGTTGACTAATAGTGTTCAATCTGAAATTCTTACCAAATTTTATAATGAAGTGTAATATAAAATCTCATTGTTTCAAAAATGCTGTTTATTATAAAGCAGTTTTCTTTTTAGAGTATTGCATGAACATCAGACTTCCCAGGTCTGTATTAGGAAGATCTGGATTATCATGTACCAGTTTCAGACATATTTGAAAATGTTTTGAAAAGTATAAAGTACAGTATAAGTCTAAACTGTCTATAATACTTAATAAAAATGGGATGGCCTCTTATTAAATTAACTAGGAAAGGCAAACAGATCATGAATACTTCTGTAATATGTAGACCACTCTCGGTATCTTGATCATATCATTGGTATCTTAATCAGATAATTATAAAAAGCCCCGTTTTTATTCCATTTTACCTAGCAGCAAGTTCAGTGTTATCTAAGTTAAGCTTTTGCCATCATTTTATTTTATTTATGTCAACATGTCTTAGCAACCTGTGCTACTTAATCTATCCTCTGAAGTTGCTAATTCCTTGTGGTCTGTTTTTGCTGATGTATCCCCTGTACATTTACTGTCATTTCACATCCACTCCTGTTTGCAGTTCTTGGCCTTAGGAAATTGCATGCAGAATAAGAAGTTGAAGACTGAATTATGAGTGCATGAAGATAAGCTATAATTGAGCTATGTGAAGAGAAAAATAATAAAATGTGTAATAATAAAACCTAATTGACTTGGTAGTTTTTTTATAGCTAATAAATTTAGTCTGCCATTTATTTCTAAATTTAATTAATATAACTTCTTTTTAACTCTAGTCATCTCAACTTAATAATCCTCAGTTTGTATGGGTGGTACCAGCTTTGCGCCAGCTCCATGAAATCACCCGTTCATTTATAAAACAAACTTATCAAAAGCAAGACAAGGTAAGGATATAACTATATATGATTATTATACAGTTATTTGCATAACCTTTTGTAATAACAATACAGACTAAAATTGCTGAGTTTTATAGTCACCATTAAATTTTTATGGTTATCGTGTAATTGATTTACATTATTTAATAACTTCAAGTTTGAACATCATTCTGCTTTCATTTCTGTGGAGTTTTTCTTTTGATTTACCTTTAACTCGTTTCCTTTTTATTTTCTTAACTTATTGAGATAATTAAAGCAATTTTCAAAGGTTAGAATGGTATTTTAGAAATTTGATTGGAAAGATTCAAGGCTTATTTTATATTGTAAAATGATTAGTTTGCTTAAGGAGCTAGAGCTTCTTCAGTGTAATACGCTTGGAAGAAAGATCTGGAAGAGTATACACAAAGTGAAATAGTTCTTTTGAAAGACTTTTTTCTTAAAAAAAAGAAAGAATCTCTTTTAGAAGCAAATAATAAGCAGAGAAGGTTATTAATTCCTTACTGAGTATACACACCAGATTGGTTTCATTTTATGTAAGAAAATGTGAATGAAGAAATCTTTGTTTGTTGTCCCTTACCTAGGACTACATCCTATATTAGAAGTTCTATTGAAACCAAGAAAGTAACTGCAAATTCTCACACTGCTTTTCTTTTTGTTGTTTTTGCCAAGAGCATTATTCAAGATTTGAAGAAAAATTTTGAAATAGTCAAATTGGTAACAGGCAGTTTGATAGCTTGTCATCGACTGGCAGCAGCAGTGGCTGGACCTGGAGGACTAACTGGTTCAACACTAGTGGATGGCCGATACACTTACCGGGAGGTATCAGGCATTGTGTTTTTGCTTCATTTCCAGCATTCATTTGACCTTTTTGCACTTGAACTGTAAAATTAATATTTGTTGGGTGTGACTATAAAGGAGTAGCATCAGGTAGCCTTATAGTGATGGAACAGTTGTGTATCTTGACTATAATTACTTCAAAATAAAAGTTTAGAAACATGGTATGTGTGGTTAAATCTTTCAGTAAATCACCCAAGAATTGCCTATGACAACCTAATAAAAATAAACACTTTTTCTTTGTCTTTGATTTGAAATAATAATTAATTCTGTGGATAATGAGTTTTGTTTTTCACATCTATTGATTAGTAATATTTATTGTTCAAAAAAAATAGAACAAGTTGAGACTCACTAGCTGTGAGTCTATGGTGTTTTACTTTGAAATTATATTTTGTTGACATCTAAAATCAACTGAATTTGCAATAGACTTGAAGTAGCTTTTTAAAGCCTACATTGTACTGTCAGCCTGTTATAAACAGATATCTCACATTCACTGAACCCTAAATTGTATGAAAAAACATTCGTTAAAATGATTTATAAAATTTTAAAGTTTTTTTTTTTTTAATTTTGCTTTTCTGTATGAATGCCTGGAGTTAACTAATAAGCATTGTTTCTTTTTGCAGTATTTAGAGGCACATCTAAAATTTCTGGCATTTTTCTTGCAAGAAGCTACTCTGTATCTGGGTTGGAATCGTGCCAAGGAGATGTGGGAATGTCTTGTGACCGGCCAGGATGTGTGTGAATTAGATAGAGAGGTAAGAAGATGGTATTGTGGATAAGGTGAGGCAGTAGTGAAAAGTTAAATATCTCACATTTTTGTGTGTGTCACATCTTTCTTCATTTCTAAACACTTTTCAATTTACGGAAGTACACATTTATACTAATAGATCAGTAAGCGTAAGCAGTAAAAGAGTATTTTATATAATGCATGTCCTTGAGATAAATAAATGTGTGAGTTCTTTGGTAATTTTGATACCATTCTGGATGAAATAGCAAATTTAGCCAAGTGAGTTCAGTTAAATAGCTCTTAGGTATATCTTTTAATTTTTTTCCTTCCCATAAAACTGATTTTTATTCACCAACAGAAATCTTTGAGTACCTGTAATGATGTTATACCCCAGTAGCACTAAAGAAGAATCAGTGCCTAGATACATTATTAAAAATACCATTAGACTGGTGGGAACAGGTTAGACCAGGAGCAGAACACCTGCTTTGACATTTTCTAACCGTGAATCTGTTTCCTCATCTCATTTTACAGAATAATATTAACTACCTCATAGGATTGTTGAAAGGATTAATTATGTGACGATGACTAGCATAGTGCCTGGCACAGAGTAAGACTTAATAAATGCTAATGGAAAAGCCCAAATATAAAACTCAATAAAAAGCATGAGTGTATTTTTTCATTATCTAAAGGGCAGAGATTGCTAGTAGCTACTTCATTTAGTCCAGAGTCCCAAGCATGTCACTTTTAAGTGGTATTTTGGCAATGTAAATTTTAAAGTATTCACAATAATTTACCTTTACCTCCCCAGTTTGGAATAGTGTTTGCCTAAAATGGATTTTAGTTATAGGGTAATACTTGTCTTAATCCACAGATGTGTTTTGAATGGTTTACAAAAGGGCAGCATGATCTTGAGAGTGATGTTCAGCAGCAGCTCTTCAAGGAGAAAATCCTTAAATTGGAGTCATATGAAATCACTATGAATGGTAGGAAAAAAAATTAAAATTATTTTTCAGTTCTTTCAAGTACAAAATTTTATTCTTCCCTTTCCCTCTAATCCTACATCTCAGAAACAACTGAACAGTTTGGAATATCCTTCCTGACTTTTTCTTATACATATGAATCCCAAAGAAAGAAAAATCAAACCTATTGATTCCGACTCATAGCTACTCTATAGGACAGAGTAGAACTGCCCCATAGGGTTTTCAAGGAGCACCTGGTGGATTTGACCTGCCGACCTTTTGGTTAGCAGCCAAGCTCTTTACCACTATGTCACCAGGGCTCCCATGTGAACACATTCCTATGTATTTATATACACAGATAAACCCCCTTTTACATAATGATATCTTATAATTAATTTTTAAATTATATGGCTTGATAGCTCAAATTGCCAAACTGTCTTCCTGTGAAATTAACTCAGTACAAAAATGATTTCATTAAGGTAAAAATTTGTCAAGGTATAGAAATCCTCTTTCTGAGCTTTTTAAAATTGAGTTTTTAATTGATAATTTACATACCATAAAATTCACCTTTTAAAGTGTACAATTCAGTGGTTTTTAGTACATTCACAAAGTTATGTAACCATCACCACTGTCTAATTCTAGAAAATTTTCATCACACCCTCCCTTGCCCTCCCACCCCCCAAAAAAAACAAAAAACATACACATTAGCAGTAACTCTCCATTTCTCCCTCCTCCAGCCTCTGGCAACCCCTAGTCTGCTTTCTATATCTATGATTAGCCTGTTCTGAACATTTCACATAAATGAAATCATACACTATGTGGTCTTGTGTGTCTGACTTCTTTCACTTTGCATAATGTTTTCAAGGCTCATCCATGTATCAATACCTTATTCCATTTTATGGCTTAATAATATTCTGTTGTATGGATAAACCCCATTTTGTTTTTCCATTCATCTGTTGATGGACATTTCAGTGTTTCCACTTTTTTACTATTATAAATAATGCTACTATGAACATTTATGTACAAGTTTTCGTGTAGACAGGTTTCCATTTCTCTTGAGTATATAGCTAGAAGTGGAATTGCTGGTAACTCTATTTTTAACATTTTGATGAACTGCCAAACTATTTTCTAAAGAGGCTGCACCATTTTACATTTCCACCAGCAACATGCGAGCGTTCTAGTTTCCCCACATCCTCACCAACATTTGTTCTTTTCTGTTTTTGTTTTTTTCTTTTCATTCTAACCATCCTAGTGGGTGCGAAGTGGTATCTCGTTGTTTTGGTTTGCATTTCCATGATGACTAATAATGTTGAGGGCCTTTTCATGTGCTTATTGGCCATTTGTATATCTTTAGAAAATATTCAAATTTTTACCTGTTTTTGATTGGGTTATTTGTCTTTTTATTATTATTGAGTTGTTAGAGTTCTTCATATATTCTGGATTCTAGCTCTTTATCAGATATATTATTTGCAGATACTTCTTATCCTGTGAGTTGTCTTTTCACTTTCTTAGGGTCTTTTGAAACACAAAAGTTTACCCTTTTGCTTTGCTTTTGGTATTGTATCTAAGAAACCATTGCCTTGTCAGAGGTCATGAAGATTTGTGCCATGTTTTCTTCTAAGGGCTTTATAGTTTTAGCTTTTACATTTAGGTCTTTGATACACTTTGAAGTTTTTGATTTTTTGATTATCTGTATTACTTAGAGCTCAGGAATTTATCTGATGTTCTACAATTTCAGGTTTTAACTTGTTTAAAACTTTTTTTGAAAACGTGAATCTCTGTGATCATCGATTAAAAAGACAAGGTGCTCAATTGGTAAGTACACTATTCTCAAATCTTTAATCAGATCAGATAACTTGGATTAGCTGGTAAAACTTGATATTCCGGAAAAAAAATTACCATGTATTATAATTGACAGAAGACATGTATTTTAAAGAACAAGCATCTCCTTGACTGCCGTATTCTGCATTGGAGACATAGCTTCTCTTAAGAGTGTAATGGGAGACTCCTTCTCCAGCATACTACCTCCCTGGCTGTCTGGGAGAACACAATTGACCTCTCAAAACACTCTCTTTGCTTTTGCTGATCTTGGGGCAGCCAGTGGCCTCATGTGACTCGATGAATGCAGAGTAGGGACAGTTCTCTCTAAGGTTCCAACTCCGCAAATCCAGCAATTCACACCTATCTTAAAAAGTCACAAAATCTTCAATTCTGGAATAGTAGTGGCAGAGATTTGGAGATAAATATTTAGAAACAGACAAACAAGAAAATGAGGATCTATAAAATGTATACAGCTTGGGTTTATATGTACATGTACACCTTAAAAAAGAAAGCAAGAAAATATCTCTTTTTCCAAGTCTGTTTCATTCAGAGCCTGGCTTCCTGGGGTGGTAAGACTTTTCACAAGATATTGTACGCCCTGGTTCCTGCCATTTCTAACTGAGTTTTGGAAAGAGCAGATTGAGCCCCAAGGATTAGTAACGTCTTCAAGCTTGACTGCATTTCCTTTTGAAGAAAGTTCATGAAGAATAGTGCCCATCTCACTCTTTCAGGGCTTCTCCTTCAATGCCTGTGTGGATAACTGTCCATCTTAGGTTTAAGGATGTCTGGAGAAAATCTCCGTAACTGTCCTGGTTCACATAAGGTTGTCCATTGCTTTTGTGCCTGGCTATTTTTTATGTTAAAACTTCATGTCAGTATAATAATGTTTTCATATGTCAGTGGTTTTTTGTAGCTTTAATTTATGTTGAACTTAAGAGGTATAGACTAATGTAGCAGAAAATGTCTGTAATTTTGTGACTTTGGCATGCTGTATAATTTATAATTTTTTTCTCTTTTGAACAGTATGTAGAAAAGCTGGAGTTGATAGGAATGGATTTCATTTGGAAAATAGCCATGGAATCACCTGATGAAGAAATTGCTAATGAAGCTATTCAGTTAATCATAAACTATAGTTACATTAACTTAAATCCTAGGTTAAAGAAGGTGGGTATCATGCATAAAAAACGGAAAATTAAATATATTTTTATTGATAAGTTGGGATCCTTGGCATGCCTGGAAATTGTCTTTATTTTGATATTTTGTCTTTAATAATGATTTAAACTAAATGACGTGGTGCTAATTTTAATTTCCACATACCTTTTACTTTCAGGATTCAGTATCTTTACATAAGAAATTTATTGCTGATTGCTACACAAGACTAGAAGTGAGTAGACATTTTTATTTAACTTTTTTTTTTTAATACTTTATTATGTTTTCGGTGAAAGTGTACACAGCAAATTCGGCTTCTATTTGATAATTTCTGTACAAGTTGTTCAGTGACATTAGTTGGGTTTTTCACAATGTGTCAACATTTTTATTAAGTGCATTCTGGTTGTTCCATTTCCAATACTCTAGTTTCTCTGCTCCCTTATCTTCTTATCTTTGCTTTAGAGTAATTGTTGACCTTTTGGTCTCATGTAGATGGTTTTTTAATGGAACACCGTACTCACAGGTAATATCCTTTATAATGTGTGCCAGTCTATTATTTCTCTAAAAGGATGTTACTTCTCAG